ATGTAGCCATGCCCAGCTTTTTACATTGTGCTGGGGATCTGAACTCACGTGTTTATGAACATGTTTTCTAAATTTCTTTTTATTTTTAAAAAAAGATTTTTTTTTTGTATATAAGTGTTTGCCTGCATGTATACATGTGCACCCTGTGTGTACCTGGTGCCTGTGGAGGCCAGAAGAGGGAGGGCATCAGATTCCATGGAACTGGAGTTACAGATGGTTGTGAGCCACTATATGGGTTCTAGGAACTGGACCTCGATCCTCTGCAAGAGCAGCAAGTGATCTTAACCTCTGGGTCATCTCTCCAAAAAATGTCTCCCCTTTCCTTTTATCATTTAGTAGCTCTGGGTGCCCTCTGCTGCTTCTGGGAGTGTTGCTTAATCCCCATGTCCCACTATAGGAACTCTCTCTTTGGCTCTCTCTCTCTCTCTTCCTCCCCCCCCCCCCCCCCCCCCCCCCGTTACCCATGCCATCTATTGCGCCTTTTGTCTCCATTGTCGTATTCTGACATTTAACCTTTCTACTTTAAGATTATTGCTATGGGCGCTGGAGAGGTGGCTCAGCAGTTCAGAGCACTTGCTGCTCTTCCAGATGAAGATCCTAAGGATAAAGTAAAATACAGCTGACAAAATCAACACACACACACACACACACACACACACATGCACGCACGCACGCACGCACACACGCACACACACACACACACACACACACACTACCTGCCATGGTGTGCTGCCTCACCACAAGCCCAAAGGATCAAGGCCAAGTGTCAATGGACTAAAACCTTGTCAGTCAACAACAACTGCCATGCTAAAGTGGGAGGGAGAAAGTCCATGCGGCCTCAACCCCTCGCGAGGAACTATGGGCAACTAAGGGAGGCTGAGAGTGAGAGAAACACTCTTCCCCAGAGAAGCGCACCCCAGCTGGTTATCCAGTACCAAATGATAATCCCTAAAGACATACATACATGTAACATAATACAGACTGGGCAGGGGGCACTTGCATATTTAGGAAAATATACTTATATACATAATCATATATGTGTATAACAACAATCAATGAAAAAAGAAGCCATGAATTTGAATGAGAGCAAGGAGGAATAATGGGAGGATTTGGAAGGAGGAAAGGGAAAAGGGAAATGGTCTAATTACATTATAATCTCAAAAAAAACTTGTCAAGATAAATATTTTCCCATGTTAAGTTGATTATTAAATTATTTTATCACTATGGCACAAAGTTGACTAAGACAAAATTCAAACCCCTCCCAATACCAGTGTGGTGGTACATGCCAGTATTCTCAACTCCCAGGAGGCTGGGACAGGAAGTGAACCACTTGGAGTGGGGGGTAAGCAGATACCCACTTGGAGTGGGGGGTAAGCAGATAACCACTTGGAGTGGGGGGTAAGCAGATAACCACTTGGAGTAGGGGTAGGCGGATAACCACTGGGGGTGAGTAAGAGACTAACCACTTGAGGTGGGGCTTCCTTTTCTGTCTGAAAAGCAGGAGTGGACTAGAGAAGTGGGAGAACTATTCCCCATCCTGCCCTGTTTCAGAATATTTGTTTACACTGTAAAGATGTGTCTGTCGGCCAGGCGGTGGTGGCATACATCTTTAATCCCAGCACTCGGGAGGCAGGGGCAGGCGGATCTCTGTGAGTTCGAGGCCAGCCTGGGCTACAGAGTGAGTTCCAGGAAAGGCACCAAAGCTACACAGAGAAACCCTGCCTCAAAATAAATAAATAAATAAATAAATAAATAAATAAATAAATAAATAAAAATTAAAGTAAAAATAAAATTTAAAAAAGATGTGTCTGCCTAAGGCGCCTTCTGATTGGTTTAATAACCAGCAGACTTAGAGTAAGTTGGATGTGCCATTCAGGCCATGGGCCTGCCTAGCCTCCACTTAGCAGTAAGGTTTGGCTGACGTGATCAGAGAAGGCTGCAAATACACAGGTCCAAAACAAGAAAACCTCTAGACAGATATAGTATGCTTAAAAATGTGCTTAGATGCTGAAGAAAGAAAAGAAAATGGGTGTAGACAGTCATAGAAAAACAAATAGTTTAAAAATATTAAAGTCTTTGCTGGGCGATGGTGGTGCACGCCTTTAATCCCAGAACTCGGGAGACAGAGGCAGGCGCATCTCTGTGAGTTCGAGGCCAGCCTGGTCTACAGAGCGAGATCCAGGACAGGCACCAAAACTACACAGAGAAATCCTGTCTAGAAAAAAACCAAAAAAAATAAAATAAAATAAAAATAAAAAAGTCTTTAAAGAGAGATTAAAATAATATAAAAGGAAAAAGCCACATAAAGATGGGAAATACACGGGGTCTGGATCCTGTATGGTGCTTTATTGACTTTAAATTTTTTTATTTTTTATTTATTTTTTATTTTTTTAAATATGTATTTATTATGTATATGGTGTTCTGCCTGCAGGCCAGAAGAGGGCGCCAGATCTCATTACAGATGGTTGTAAACCACCAGGTGGTTTGGGGAGAATTGAACTCAGGACTTCTGGAAGAACAGCCAGTGCTTTTAACCTCTGAGTCATCTCTCCAGCCCAACTTTAAATTTTTTAAATGCTGATGAACAAAATACAATAGCTGCTGAGAGACAGTGGATTATAGAAACTGCTAAATTAAACCAATTTATGTATTTTAAGAATGTCTTAACTTCAGAATGAAAGTCAGAAAATATGTTGCGTTGGAGGAGAGGTTTTGCTTTTGTTTCTACAGGAAACAAAAAGCTATGGATTTCTTCCAAATTAATAAGGACCAGATTTGATCAGGACAGACCTCCTGAAAATCTTGGCTACAGACATAAAGAAAGAAACAAAAGAAAAACTATAAGGCAGGTGACATATATGCTGTTCCCTTGACAGCTCTGAGATTGGACGAGACATGATAAATCTTGTTGGCTACAGAGTCCTCATGACATTATTACATGTCATCTTTTCATATGGCATAAATAGAGGTTTGGTTATACAGTCCAAACAGACTTTATAACTTTGTTAACTTTTGTTAACTTTATAACAGATGCCTTTTACCTGCTCAAACATAGAACAAAAAGTCATCTTCAGCTGACTTGTGCATACCATACATTCCATACTTGTGTTAATACAGATATATATGTTACCTTGAAAAGTTTGTGTGGGAAAAAAAGGACCAGACACCAATGAAAACAAGTAGCCTAGGTGATCCAGCCTCTCAGAATGCCTCTGTTGCAGTTTGCTCAAATTTCTGTATCCAGAACAATTTCAAGGAGGTTAGCTGAGATTGTCCAGCCTCACAGACTACTCCAGCCAGGACTGCAGATAAGCGCTACACTTTCCCATCGCATAGAGACTAAACAAAAAATAATACATTCAGCTCTCCCAAGATTTGACCATTATCCCAATTTTCTTAGAGTCCCATAAAGATGCCATCATCCCCAGAGAAGAGGAGTCAGTCTAGAAAACATGACGCCCACATTCCCAACAGGTGGGATGGGTGGCTTGGGGTCATTGGGTAGATTATAGATGTTTGTCATCATTTGAGTTGGTTACAAGTTGTTACTAGTCATGGTCGGGGGAAAAATAAGCAAAAGGTTAGATTCAGGGATCTCTTTCTGAAAAGAATAGGGGGGATATAGGAAAGGTAGGATAAATCTACTTTTAAACTACAAAGGCAACTACTAGTCTTAAATATTTTACATTGGTATGAATTTTTGTATATTGATACAAATTTAAGGTTATGTTGTTATTTTGTTACTTTGTTATGTGGTGAAAAGTTGTGTGGAATTGAACTTGAATGATGTTTTGAAAAAATAGCTGGAGAGGTGGTTCAGTGGTTAAGAGGGAATCAACACCTTCTTCTGCCTCTAAGGATACCTGAACACATGTAACAGATACATACAGATGTACATATACACATAAATAAAAATAAAAGTATTTTTTAAAGCCAGCCAGTCATGCTAAAACTGGCATAGAGTGCAGAGTCTATGCAAAGAGTTAGTTTGGAGTCTTTTAAGAACAGAAAGAAAAGGCTGAAGAGATTTCTCATCCGTTAAACGTGCCTGCTGCTCTTTCTGGGGACCTGGGTTCTGTTCCTAGACCAATATCATATTACCCACAACTACCTATAACTCCAGTTCCAGGAGATCCAACACCCTTTGGCCTCTGAGGGCACTGCACACATGTGATATACATACATTCGTGTGTGCGCGCGCACACACACACACACACAGAGCTACACATAAATAAATACAAACTGTCTGGTGTGGTGGTGCATAACTTTAATGCCAGTACTGAGATGCAAAGGCAGTAGGATCTCTGTGAGTTCAAGGCCAGCCTAGTCTACGCAGCAAGCTCTAGAACAACCAGAGCTACATAGGGAGACTTTGTCTCAAATAAATAAACAAGCAGATAAATAAATAAATAATGTTTTTAAAGAACATAGAGATTATAATGACATAAAGAACACAAAGCGATCATAAAGAACATAAATGAGGGGTTCCCAAATCCACATACTGTATAATGATATGAAAAGGGATCAGAAAGACTGATGGAGGACAGGTCTCATAGAGTCACACAATGGCCAGACGGGTAGAAAATGGATATGTATGGATTGGAGGATAGTTAAGGATAAATAGGTGGGAAAATGGGAGCATGGATGCGTAAGTACATGGGTGGATGCATAGATGGATATATACATAGATAGATACTGTCAAATCCTGGATGGTTAGAAACCCAAATCCATTTTAGGCCACTAGATGGAAGCCAAGTGTTTTCCATTCGTTACATGAATGCTCTTTCTTTTTTCTATTGTTTTTATTTCTATGCATGTTTGTATGAGTAGGTGCATGTGTCTTCAGGAGCCAGAAGAGAGGATCGGTTCCCCTGGAGCTGGAGTCACAGGCAGTGGTGAGCAGCCAGACATTGAGAATCAAACTCTGGTCCTCCAGAAGAGCAGGAAGCTCTGTTAACCACAGAGCCATCTCTTCAGTTCCCAGATGCCTCTTTCTAGTGGTATAAATTTAAAAACATTGATATTCTTCACTGAGAAATAGCCGGGTTTCCGATGTCACAGATTAGCACAGCCCTTCCAGGCTAGGTTGGCTACAGCTGTGCAAAGCTGTTAATGCCTTTGGTCCAGCCATGACCACGGCAGGTCTAGAGAAGCCAAATCCCCCAACTGCTACCCCTGGAGCAAGCAGCTTCCTCTCATTCACAGTGCTGAATATACAACCAAAGTTGCCACACCCTCAATGGGTCATGGTGGGAGAAAAGCAGGAGGTACAGCTTATGAGATGACACTCTTTTGTCTTTTTTTTTTTTTAAAGATTTATTTATTATGTATACAATGTTCTGTCTGCATGTACGCCTGCAGGCCAGAAGGGGGCGCCAGACCTCATTACAGATGGTTGTGAGCCACCATGTGGTTGCTGGGAATTGAACTCAGGACCTCTGGAAGAACAGTCGGTGCTCTTAACCTCTGAGCCATCTCTCCAGCCTGACACTCTTTTGTCTTAACAAAGGACCCTGAGGCCAGGCTAGCCCCAGCTCTGACTTACTCCATGGTGTGTAAAACAGTGATTTTTCAGTCTGTGCCCTAGGAGACACTGTTTTACAGACAGCTTTGGGCTCTATTTAGGGAGGAGAGGTGTAAGGAGAAAAGAAAACTGAGGAGGCTCAATGGTGAGGGACCAGGTTTGTTTTGGAATAAACCTGAGAAGGCCTCTTATCAGAGAAGGTAAGAGACAGTGAACTTCTCTTACAGGTAAGGGGTTTATCAGTGCTGGGGGATCAGGGCTGGCAGAGGGATCAAGGCCTGGTTTGGTCAGGCAGGGTTAATGGTTAAACTAGAATGTGCAGGGTTGGTGTTAATAATGTTGACTTCAGGTAATTGAAACTTGTTACACAGGAGGGGCTGCTGTTCAGGCTAGACAGTAGTCACAGGAAGGGGCCGCTGTCCAGGCTGGACAGTAGTCACAGGAAGGGGCCGCTGTCCAGGCTGGACAGTAGTCACAGAAAGGGGGTCACTACTCAGGCTGGACAGTAGTCACAGGAAGGGGGTCACTACTCAGGCTGGACAGTAGTCACAGGAAGGGGCCGCTGTTCAGACTGGACAGTAGTCACAGGAAGGGGCACTGTTCAGGCTGGAATGGAGCTGCCTCTGAGTTGTGCCCTCTCAAGGATGAGTGTAGCCAAGGATGAATCCACAAACCTCACCATCTGTCAGGCATCAACCATGCAACACAGACTTATTAAATGGCTTATTCCCAGGAATAGAACCAAACTCTAAGTTTGTCAGGGGGGATTGAGATGATGGGGGAACATGGATATTTTAAAATCGTATCTGGGAAACCTGGCCCAAGAACTTATTGGCCATACCAGACCAAGGAAAGGGTGTAACTCCCTGGACCCCATAAATTGGCAGACACCTTACACTAAGATAGCATGGCATGGCCCACCAACCTGACACCCAGTGTGTGGAGGACCAACCGTGAGAAAAACGCTTGTCTGTCCCTGGGCTTCAGGGTAGCTTGGTCCCCTGCTGCCCACTGGACTGCCTGCTGGAGCTGAACACACACACACACACACACACACACACTTTCCTGCTCCAACCTGTTTCCACTCTCACCTAGACTCCACCCCGAAGCCTGTCTTTCAGGCAGGACCTTCCTTGGGCCACAGCAGCAACCTCCTCCCAGGACTGGACTCAGGTTTCTTATCTACACAGATTCTACCCACATTTCTAAGAGCCCACTTCTCTGCTGTAGCCGCTGTCACTTACATTCACTCTGCTAAACACATAATAGGCACCCACAGAAAGCTAAGTTTACCGTGTGCAGTGTGATAGGAGAATTAAGACTGGAATCAAAGAACCTGTGTTAGCCTCAGCCAGATTTCCAAAACAGGCAGGACTGTCTGGGAAACTTCCGCCACAGAAACCACGGAGCCTCATGAAGGTGCAGAGGATGAGTCACTTCTCGGGTCTTCCAATTCATCTGCATTACATTTGGTCAAGGCTCCACTCTGTAAGATGTGAGTGGAGCTCCTGGTGGTCAGTGAACTTGAGCCTGGCCCTGTGGAGGCCTCAATCTCACGCTCCTTCTTCAGCCTAGTGAAAAGAACATGATGATCTAGACAGTGTGAGCCTTTGCCTCTGTGCCTTGGAGCACACAGACACTCGGCTAAGCTTCTCTGTATTGCTCCAAGTTTAGTACCTGTGCTGCCACAGGGAGCACAATAGATCACTTCTCACAGCAGCTGACTAGCTACTACCACTAACGTGTTACCATCAGGAAGCATATTCTAAGCTGTCCAGTCTTTCAATGATTCAAGAAAAGGCTAAAATCCAGATATTTAGGCGAAATTATTTGATCTCCCTCTGCCACTACTTTCATTTTCATTTTACTTTTTGAGACAGGATCTTACTGTATAGCCCTGACTGGACTAGAACTGGTTATATAAACTAGGCTGACCTTGGACTCACAAAGATTCATCTGCCTCCGCTTCCAGAATACTAAGATTAAAAGTGTGTGCCACCATGCCTGGCCTGCAACTTTTTAACAATTTTTAAATCTGACAAATCTGGAGTTTGATGTGGTCCATGTCCCCTGTTTTTGCAAACTGTTAATTTCTAATGACATTTTTGTCGAAATCTGGCCAAATTCCCTCCTTTTCCTGTTAAGAAAATAGGCTGAATAACCACATATATGTGTGGTAACTTATCCAGGCCAAAGTCGGAAAGCAGAGACAATAATCACAAGGGAGACTGTGTGCTGTGTTTCCTTATTGTGAAATCTTATTTAGTAATGAAGTTGGTTCAATCCTACAACAATTAATAGCAGAATCCGGATCCCATTTCCAGTGGATCCCTGTGGATCTTGCCTGCCAAGCTGTCGTTCATATTCATTTGATTTAAAAGCGAAGTCCCCCCTCCCCCTCCACACACACCTCCGACTCATCTGTCCTAGTCTCTTCAACAGCCCTTTTCCAGCCTGTTCTGAAGAACGCTGCAGAAAAATGATAAAGTTGAAAATATTAGACACGAGGTGGCATAGTGAGGCACACGTGCATTCTCAGGACTCAGGAGGCGGAGGCAGGAGGATCACCATGAGTTCAAGGCCAGCTAGTGCTACATTACTGAGTTCTAGGCCCTGTGCTACAGAACTGAGAGTCTGACTGGGAATGTAGCTCAGTTGGTAGAGTGCATGCATGCCTAGCAGGGTGTGTGTGATGTGGTGTCCGATGCACTTGGGAGATGGAGGCAGGAAAATCACAAATTCAACCTCCCCGTTGGTTACATATGTGCTGAGGGTGAAATGTAGCTCAGTGGAAGAGGTCTAGATTAGCATGTGTGAGTCTAAGGTTCAATTACCAAAACTGCACACCCCTCCAAAAGAAAAAATGTAGTCAAGAACGTCCTTGCTACGTGGCTTTTTTTGGGGGGTGGGGGGTGGAGATAGGGTTTCTCTGTGTAGCCCTGGCTATCCTGAAACTCGTGCCATAGACCAGGCTAGCCTTGAACTCAGAGATCTGCCTGCCTCTGCTTCCCAAGTGCTGGGATGAAAGGCAGGCGCCACCACCGCCTAGCTACGTGGCCTATTTTGAGGCCAGCCTGGGCAACAAGAGGCCTTGTCCGGGAAACAACAACAAATAAAAATCCAACAGTGAGATTTTGTCTCAAAGGAAAAAAAAAAAATAGTCGTGAAATGAAAGTTCAAAAGAGGAAGCTGTGGCACAAAGACCAACGGGGTTGCCGGAACGCTAAACTAAGGTGCATTCCAAGTCCTGGGAAGAAGAAAGTTCAAATGTCACTTCCAAGTACCCCGGGCTGGAGATCACGGGCGTTTCTGAGGAGTCCTACTTTCCCCGAGCGCTATTCAAGGAAAGCAAGACCAGGCGAGCACCAGCAGAGAACCAGCAGAGAAGAAGCAGAGAGGGAAGCGGCCGCAGGGAGCAGCGCCAGGCGGCTCAGCCCAGGCCAGGGGCGGGTCACGTGACCGGCCAACATGGCCGCCCGCGGAGAGTGCCGCCGGGCGGGGCAGGAGTCGGAGCCCGGGCAGGAGCCGGGGCCGGAGGCCGGGCCCGAGGCAGGCCTAGAGTCGGGGGAAGAGTTCGAGATCGTGGACAGGAGCCAGCTGCCGAGCCACGGCGAGCTGCGGAGCGCGGCGCGGCCTCGAGCGGCTGACGGCTGGTCGGCGCCCATCCTGACGCTGGCGCGCCGAGCCACCGGGAACCTGTCGGCGAGCTGCGGCAGCGCGCTGCGCGCGGCCGCGGGGCTCGGAGACGGCGGCGGCGGCGGCGGCGGGGAGCGCGCAGGTAGGCCGGGGTCCCGCGGGCTAGGGCTGCTACAGGACTGGGGGAGCCCGAGAGCTGGGCGAGCTGCTCCGCCGACCTGTGCCGCGCGGCGCAGGCTTCTTCTGTACGTGGGTAGGACCCGGCAGGAAAAGCGCCAGACAGGGCGGGTGGCGGCCGGGGACTGCCCCCTCCCACCTTGTGTTTGTCTTTGTGAACCCCAGAACAGCCGCGTCGTGATCACGGATTGACTTTAAATAAGAGGATTAAATAAGAGGCTCAGACGGAAAGTCGTCTGTGTTTCTGTTTTGCATACTTGAGAAACGAAGTCTGGTGCTGGCCCCCCTGTTAACCCTCTCGGCCGCTAGCCGCTTGTGCACCTGCGACTGAGGTTGACAGCATATTCCAAAGTTGGTGAGAGCGGCGAGTCAGAGTCAGGAGGTTTTGGTTCCCTTTGTACTCCGCCACCAAAAGCCCCGTGGGACGTGAACAAGCCATAGCGCCCCTCCTACTCGCATTTCCCAACCTATAAAATGGGGATTTTTTTTTTAAATCAGCAACCTTCTAAAGCCCAGTTCAGCCCTTATGATCTAGAATAGAATTTCAGCATACCAGTAAGAAAGAATAAAAACAAGTGATTATGACATGGTATGGTGATGCAGGTACATACTGCCCGAACAGCATGTTAATGTACTCAGTACCGTGCTAATTTTAATGCAGTGGTGTTTGTGTTTCTAAACCTAACTAAAAATACAATATAAAAGACAGCCATGGTTTCGAGCATTGTGTTGCTTGCCTTTAATCCCAGCACTTGGGAGGTAAAGGCAGGTGGATCTCTGTGAGTTCGAGACCCGCCTGTCTACATAGTGAGCCTCTGTCTCAAAATAAATAATAAATAAGGATGCTTCACTTGGCTAGGGCACTTACTGTGAATGGACCATGCAGATTTCAAGTTGCTGTGGTAGCGTGAGCGTTGACTGTAAATGCCTGAGACTTCGTGCATACAGTAAACTTTGTTACCCAGAGTTTATTTAAACAAAACAACAACAAAAACCCACTTCTTTCCTTGGTAATAAATTAACTTTGGTTTACTGTAACTTTTCTGCTTTATAACCTTTACTTTTGTGTGTGTATATGGATTCATGCATGTTTGAACATGTGCACTTGAAGACCAGAGGTAGATGTTGGTTATCTTCCTCAACTGTTAAATCCACCTTAGTTTTGAGACAAGGTCTCTCACTAACCCTGGAGCTCACCAATTGCCCACACTGTCCAACAAGACCCAGGTATCCTCATGTCTCTGCTCTCCTGGCACTGGGAATACTAGCAGATATCGCCATGCCCAGTTTTTAGCGTTGTGGCTCTGAACTAAGATCTTCATATTTGCCAGGCAATTTTGGCGGACCAGCCGCCACTTTTACAACCAGGGTACTCTTGAGTAGGGAGAAGTGAGAAATATTATCTAGAAGGAGATACCTAGACAACGAGAGGAAAGACAGAAACACAGGATAGCCTCGGGAGGGCCTGGATCCTTATCCACCAGCCCAGAACTTCATTCCAAAGGACTTTGTATCACAGTACCAATGGGAGGAGCAAAGGACCTCCCCCTTTCTCAGTACAGCCAAGTGTAGATAGACCCTTCCAAACACCTGGTCCTCAGGCCCGTGGTCCAATCATCCTCTTTATGCAGACCTGCTGGATAAAGGCACTAGGAACCCCAATGGGCTCCAACAGGAAATCACTTTTTCATCTCTCCAGCCCTGCTGTTTTTGACTTTTTTTATTACCATGCATGCCATGGTGCACCTGTGGCGGTCAGAGGATGCCTTTCGGGAGTCAGTTCTCTCCTTCTACCTTCCAGGGCTGGAACTCGGGTCACCAGCCTTGTCAACAACTGCCTTTACCCTCTGAGCCATCTCACCAGCCCTGGTTTTTGTACTTTTTGACTCTTACATCAGCTTAAAACACACACACATTTTATACCTAATCAAAAAATATTTTCTTTCTTATCTTATCATTCTTCCATATCTTATCATTTTTCTATTTAAAGTTTGTTTGGGTTTTAGTTTTTACTTAAGCCTTTTGGCTAAGAGCAAAGATACATGGAGAGCAGACAGTAGTCCCCAAGCCTCAGGAAGTTTGGGGGTGAAGATAGAAAGGAGCTGGGTAATGAATTCAGGGTAGAACTGGATAGGAGGAGTGGTTTCTGGAGTTCTGCAGCATAGTTAGAATAGCTGAGATCTGCAACAACTATTAAATATTTTCTAACAGCTAGTGGAAAGATTTTAAATGTTCCCAATACAGAGAAAGGGAAACCGAGATGGTGAATATGCCAGTCTCCCTGATGATCACTACATGTACACATAAACTATCAGTGTACCCCTTAAATATGTACAATTACTGCTGCAATTTAAAATATCAATATATGTTGGCAAGATGGCTCAGTGGGTAAAGGTGCTTGCCTCCAAGTCTGATGGCCTGAGTTTAGTCCCTAGGACCCACATGGTAGGGAGAATGGATGCTTACAAGTTGATCTCTGTTCACTATATGTATCCCATGGCATACACACACACCCAACACATTAAATACATAAACATGTATATATGGGTGTATGTATGTATATACATATTGTATGTATATATATTTTAAATAAGATACATTAGCTCAGGCCTTGAAGGTCAGGATCATGACTATCACACTTCTGCCTCCACATCTTGTCCCACTGGAAAATCTTCAGGAAACAACACACACAGAGCTGACACTTGGGTTAACAACGCCTTCTTCTAGAACATGCTCCCCCATCCTGTTGACAGAAGTTCCTGTCCCACATGCTGCTCCCAAATAACGACACAGAGGCTTAGTATTAATTATAAGTGCTCGGCCATAGCTCAGGTTTGTTTGGAGCTAACTCTAACATTTAAATTAACCCATATTTCTTATCTCTGCTTTGCCACATTGCTTGGTACCTTTTCTCAATACTGCGTGTCCATCTTGCTTCTCTCTTTTGGTGACTCCTCTGATTCATCCTTCTTCTTCCCAGAATTCTCTGTTTGGCTCTCCCCCTAACCTTACTCTGTTGAGCTATTGACCAGTCAGCTTCTTTATTAAACCAATCACAGCAACATATATTCACACAGTGTAAAGAAATGTCACATTTCCTCCTTTTTGTCTAACTAAAATTGAAGGTTTCAACTTTAACATAGTAAAATTATATACAACAAAATGTCATCAAGTAAGAATTACAGTTACAACATCCAGTCCATTTGTATTTGGCAAATTTAGAGAAAATATTATTTATTCTATCTTGATGAGTCCAAAGCTCTGTACCTAATTTACCTTCTATCGTAACTAAGGAAAACTTTAACTGACTATCTAGTCTTCAACTCCATCAAAGACCCCAGAAGTATGAAATGTTACCTAACCACAGGGACATCTGGCTGCCTGGTTAGTCACCCTAGTATCTTCTGTAACACTGGGGCATCCAACTCTGGCCTGCAGGCCTAGTATATCTGACAGACATTCTAAGAAGCAGGGAATTCTGAAGGACTGTCCTGCCTGCCTTGTCTTGGCAGAGTTTGGCAGTTGCCTTTTTGGCATCCAGCTGGTCCAGTTTGGACAGTATACTGTCAGCAGTCAAGGCAAGGGCAGTTTCTTGCCCAGTGGCTAACTTTTGCCACAAAGAAAGCCAACTCCATACGGAGTTTCTTTGATGCTCATCATCTTCTTTTAGGTAAATGGGTGCTGCCAGAAGCAGACGTGTCTCACTGTCATGAAAAGCCTTAGGTTATTTGTAGCTAGAGTTTTCCTGCCTGGCCCACACTCAGGACAAATCTCTCTCACCTGCCAGTCCCACAGCTGCTCAGACCCGACCAAGTAAACACAGAGACTTATATTGCTTACAAACTGTATGGCCATGGCAGGCTTCTTGCTAACTGTTCTTACAGCTTAAATTAATCCATTTCTATTAATCTATACCTTGCTGCATCGCTCGTGGCTTACCGGCATCTTCACATGCTGCTTGTCATGGCGGTGGCTAGCAGTGTGTGTGTGTGTGTGTGTGTGTGTGTGTGTGTGTGTGTGTGTGTGTGGTGCCCCCCCCCCTTCCTGTTCTCTCCATTCCCCTCTCTGTTAGTCCCGTCTATACTTCCTGCCTGGCCACTGACCAATCAGTGTTTTATTTATTGACCAATCAGAGCAATTTGACATACTGACCATCCCACAGCAGTTATTAAACATATTAAATGTCATATTCTGTAGGTCTTTGAAGTGTTTGAAGACCATCTATCTAAATGTATCTGTGTATGACCTTGAAAACATACCTAACATGACTATAAGTTTGACTATTATAAATGACTATTAATTTGTATTTCTTAATTATACATTTCATTTTAAATAAACTGCATAAACACAATATGCTAAAATAGTTGAAACATACATACAGTATAGCAAAAATAACTTTAAATTTATATGAATAAACCAAAATCCATACCAGTGTAAAATACTTTGAGATTAATAGTTATTTTTTCAGTTTAAAAGTAGATTCAATAATCTACCCTTTTATCCTACCATTTCTATATTCCTTCTTTTTCTTTACAGAACAAGATCCCTGAATCTAATCTCCTTTGTTCAGCTTTTTTTCTGACAATT